CTGTGAGTGGAAAAATATAAATATTTTTAAAGTATTTATAAATTAAGTTTATTGTTAAAGTATGTGCAATTATGTGTTCGAATTACATGATTATTATGAAAATTTCTTTTATTATGATACATATAGGATTTCAAAGATTGTATACATTACATTGTGAATTGGAATATGAGATATGATTTGGAGATCGATCAAAAAAGTAGCCGTGATTATATATTTCTTCTAGTTCACTGAGGGGCCTTGACCGTGTTCTATACTACACTGAGAGGTTTTGAACCAAGGATTAAGGGTTCTCGACCGTGTACATTTAGTTCACCGAGGGGCCTTGGCCGTATTCTAGAATTAATTATGAGAGGTTTTTGAGACCAATTTTCGTTCACGGAGAAGCCAAGGGCCTGTGGCGAAAGTTCTTAGCCCGAAGGGCGGATTATATATTTCAGTCAGATGGTACATTTTTAGTGGATTTTTCAGCACGTTTGATGTGATGAGATTATAGTATGGTTATCAACTGATGTTTATATTATGATTTTAAGATGATATTTTATGACATTATGTGAATATTTCACTTTTTGTCTATAATTACATGATGGTAGCTTGTGAATTATCAAATGATATGAATTTGATTTTTAATAAAAATATATAAATGAAAAATTATATTTATTTTGAACTTCTCCACTCACTGAGCTATCAACTCATATATTTTTCCATGTTTTTCCTTACCAAGCAGCAGTTGAGAATCTGGGCATCTTTTGGAGTTGAGCCTTGATTTTGGAGTCAGAATCACACGATAGAGTTTGTTAGTATGACTCACTTCATAGAACATGTAGTCAGTATTTTGGGACGCATGTTCATGTGTTGATATGATTTTGCATCACTAGTGGATAGTTATGGGGTTCACTATGTATTTTATATCTATATGTATATTTCATTTTATTTCTTGGTAAATGTTGAGATTTTGGCTTATCTTTATCGTGCTGTGTTATATTTTGGGATTTGCGTAAAATTGATCACAGGTTGGTTAGTCTTGTTTACAGGGGAGATAATGCCGAAATTTTGTTAGAAAAATGATGTATAAAAAGTGATATATTGTATTTGTAGTAGCATTGATGGTGGGTTCGACTTTTAGTTGGTATCTATCATCGGCGCAAGCCACGTCCGGATCTAGTGGTGTTACACGGGGCGGGGTGTGTCAATTCAAATCTTAGAGAGAAAAAAATTATTTTTCTTGATTTTTCTCAATTGTCCGGTTCAAAAATTGGTTTTTTGATTTAATTAAAAGAAGGTGCCCACCCACTAATGTAGTCTTGAATTTGGAGAATATCATAGAAGAGTTGGAGGTTTGAAACATCAGGTTCTTGAAATTAAAAGGTTGGAAGTTCGTAATCCAAAAACCTAAAAGTTCGTGATTTAGAATTTATTCAAGAATTGTTCATCGGATTTATGTAAAAATTCAAATACTTCATTTTTTATACAATATATACGTGAACATCTAAACGATCTTGTTTATTGAATTAAAAAAGTTATTTAATTTCTGGATAATTCCTCTTTCGCATTCCAACATAAATGTCTCGTAAGGATTTCTAGAATTCTATATTTTTCCCGATTACTACAAAATGAACCTAAATTTACACTACTAACTTGTTTTTTTGCAAATGTTACTGATATAGATACCAATGGCGTTCATACCCTGGAAGATTTATATAAGAGTCTACAAAAGAGAGAGACACAAGTACGTGGATATGAGCACTACTCATTGCTTCTTACATCTTAGATGGATGTGTTCAAGACATGGTATCGTGTCAATTCCAACGAATCAATTATGCCATTTCTGAGAGTGCGTCACAATAAACTTTACTTCATTTTCATGTGCATTCTTGCACAGCTCGTTCTATCAAATCCAGGGCAAGTAGTACTTGACAAACTTCATGCATCGGATTTTGCGGACTCCATTACGGCTTTGGCTTCCAAGATGGAACCTTGAGATCATTTCTAGTCGACCTAACCCGAAAACGTGTGAATTTTCATTCCAAGGATGACAGTATGTGGATATCTAAGAAATCTTGATTGAAGATGTTGAAATATCAAACTCATGGAGAAGAGTGTGGAGTTGGCTTTTATGTCGAGAAACTTCTTTGACATGTATAATACCTTTTATTTTCTTGTTAATTCACTTATTATATGGTTCTTTTTGTTGTGATTTCTCTTGTCGATTAATACAAGTATATGTTGATCAAATATTCAAGTTAGGAATTTGTTCGATTATAGAATAATTAATAAACATCAATAATCCTATTTATTCACGTCTCAAATCCGAAAGGCCGAGTAATAATATAGAATACCAGAATAGTTAATGCAAAACAAACATAATAAGAATCCCTCTTGTGATCCATTTCCATCTGTAAATCGAGGATCAAATGATCAGAAGATAGCAAGTGATGCAGCTATTACCATGGTGAGGAAAAGCATTCCCATGGAGCTGGTGAGTCCACAAGAACCAGAGCTTTGAGAGCCGGTGTAGGAGCAGTTTCATTAGCAGCAATACTGGCACTTGGAGCACCAGCGACTGAGCTAGGAGGCAATGGCAATGGAGAAAGAGCTGCAATAAGAAATTTGTAAACTCTATCTTACTAGGAGCATGTTTGGCTAAGCATAGAAGTTACTTTTCTAGAAAAATAAGTTTTGAAATACTCTTAAGAATTATGCTTGGCAAAACGTCAGGCCACCATTCAGCAATCTTAACCAAATATTAGTATGTAATGGAAATAATTAGCCGCTTGCACAAATAATAGCTTAATTTCGCAAGCCTTGTTTTTTTCCTCCCAAACTAGTATTACGAATTTCAAGGTGAGAAAATAATATAATAATTTGGAAGGAAACTAGCAAAAATATAAGATATGAAAAAAAAAAAAGAAAAAAAAATATATATACACACTTTTTTTTTAAGGAATAATAAAATTAAGTGCTAAATATAAAAAGCTTATTAGATTTTTACTCTCAAATTTATTGATGCTCTATGAATTATAGAATATGCTCTTTTAAAAATAAAGAGTACTTTGAGATGCTCTTAATCCCTTCTTCGACAATTACAATTGAACCCAAAGAAAACAATAAAACCAGAATTATAATTCGGTTCATTGCTAGAGATATTACATTGTCACTGTGTGATAATTTCTAAAATAAGATCAGATTAAATTAGATACAAATATGAAGAATTAGTGAGATCTGTGTGTACCTGAAGCAGCACCAGCGATAGAGCCAATGCTCACGGTATTAAAGAACAAAATGAAGAAAACCCGTGATAATAGAGATGATTAAAATCTGAAGAATGTATGTATAAATTAATGATCAGGGTACCCAAAAAAATAAATAAATAATAAATAAAATAAAAATTGAAAATTGAAAATTTGCAGAAATTATTTTAAAATGAAAATGGAAAATAAAATACGGTGTCGAATTTGCACAGAAACAGGAAAAAAAATGTGTGAGAGAGAGAGAATAGCAGGAGAAAACGGGAACTCACAGCCACAGTCACTGAAGGCGCAGAGACATGGCATTCAGAGGGCAGAGCCAAGGCTTTAGTAACGTTGAGAGTGACACCAAATTGTGCACTGTTTTTAAAGCCTTCACAGAGACATTGGGGGGTCTGTTTTGAGCACAGTTTTAAGGCCAGAACAACAAGTTCCTTCAAGCTTCTTTGTGGTGCTTCTGGCGGTTTCAAAAGACAGGCAGTCCGCCATGTTGAGCACAAAACTGGAGCAATCCACAGCGGGAGCAGACGCCGCGGAGGAAGCTGGGGTGAAGAAAGTGGCACAGGAACAGAGCATGAAAATGCAGAAGATTGGGAATTTGAAGAACAATGCCATTGTAGAGAGGGAGACTGGAGTGTAGTTTTGGAGAAAGTGAAAGTCTAGAAAAGGTGAGAAATTTGAAGGCATTTTTAATGCGGGTTTATTCTTATTTATGAGTGTAATATAGGGGTGGTCACTGGTGAGGGTACTAATGATGGCAGGGTGATCAAATTGGGTTGTCCGCTTAATAAATTGAATTCTGCTGGGGAGTCAGGCTTAAATCCAGGGCAAAAAATAGGGCGCCAATTTATTGGAGGGCCGGCTGAAATGGTTTATCCTAATAAATTAGGAAATTGCTACCGACCCCTCACTGTAGTGGTCGGTCCCACATATAAAAAAAAAAAAAAATTACGTCGAGCCCGCACATTTGAGAGATCTGACAGGATCTGTAAAACAGACCCTGTAAGTGTAGCATTTCTCAATAAATTATAACTGGGGAAGCGTCGAGCCTTTGATGCCCCCTATTGGAGGGCTGGCTGAACAGGTTTATCCTAATTTATTATAACTGGGGAAGCATCAAGCATTTTTATAAAGTGTCTTTTTCCTTTAATTCATCTCCTCCCTTTCACCTGTTCATTTCCCAGAATCAGTGCCATTGTTTTAAAAACTTCAAATACATACAATTCTACAAATGTCTCCTACCAAAGATCCTTCATCCTCACAGGCACCTACAAAGAAAAAAGGCAAGGTTTTTAAATGATGAGGTACCAAAGTTCATCACTGATTTCTTGACCCTTTAATTTATTTTTATTCCTTCTCTTGTTTTCTGATCTATAACAGTTAAAAGCAAGACAAGAACGAGAGCCCAACTCGCACAAAAGAAGAAAGAAAAAGAAAATGTTACTCCACTTGTAAAAAAGTACTGGTTTCAAAGGTACGATCTTTTTTCAAGATATGACGAGGGTATCGATATGGATGAAGAAAGTTGGTTTTCTGTCACTCCAGAGGAAATAGCTGCCCAGCAGGCAAGTTGGTGTGCCGGTGCCGGAGTGGTCATCGACGCCTTTGCTGGCGTCGGTGGCAACGCCATTCAGTTTGCACAAATGTAAGTTTAACACTCTAATTATGAATTTGGCGTGCTGATAATAGAAACTTAATTTTATTATAATATTTGAATTGAAGCTTACTGTAAATACAATATTTCAGAAGCTCTTTAGTAAAATTAAAGGATAAAATGTAAATAATTTATGGCCTTTCTTTTGATCATATCCTAACTTTTACAGTTTTCCTGTGTTTAAGTGAGGTCAAAATTGGGAAGAAATATTCATTTTACTTGGTGGAAATTTTACAGCGGAAGTTATGTGCTAAACCTTGTATCCAATAACAATGGGAATGGAGGTTGTGAATAGGCTGTGGGAATGATAATGAACCAATTTTTTTATGCCAATTTAATCATTTAGTAAGGTCAGGTTTCATTGGATGGTAGTTGGATTCAGCTTTTAGTTCAGTCCGGATGAGTTCAATGACTCTAGTATTGCCTGGTTGATTAATCCATTATGCCTTGCTTGAGACTATTGGAAGAATGAACTTCCATTTTCATAGGGTTTACACTATTATTACATTTTTCGTACACTTCGATAGCCAAGCAATGTACAAGATTTTAGCTTCTTTTTCTTCATTAATTTTATTATTTTCCAACATGCCATCGATATGTGGTACGAGTCATTTAAAAAGTTTATTCATCTTGTATTTTCGTTGTAGCCATATGAATATGTTTAATATTATATGAACATGAATTTTGAAACTTTTTCTTCTTTGTTTCCCATGCATCAATAGAATCTTCAGTGACTAGAAATGGAAGTTTAATGACACTTACATTGCTACATTTAGGTGTCAACGTGTCATTGCAATCGACATTGACCCAAAAAAGGTTGCAATGGCATATAATAATGCAAAGATTTATGGTGTTGAACATCACATTGATTTCATTGTAGGAGACTTTTTCCAGGTCGCTCCCTTTTTGAAGGTATTTGTCCCTATTATATCTCTTAAGATATCAAAATTTTAAATTTGGTAGAAACTACATTTATGCAAAGGATGGACCATGTTGTGCTACTTATTTAGGCAGTGTTATACGGCCCAAGTTTTTTGGAGTATGACATTGTAATTAATTTGTTCCTCAAATCTTATTGAGAGTCGGATAGAATACCTGGCCTTATGTTTATGCCTGGTTCATCTCAACTAGAATGAAATGGTTATTATAGGGAGATCCGGAAAGATACGCTTGTTTTCTTTTTATCCTTTCTATGTAGAAATACTCTTTTTTGGGCATGCTTTAATGCCTCTCTACAGCGGATAAAATTGTAGAATGCCTGACAACTGACAAGATATCTTGCTTTCTCAAAACTCAGAAGTGAAGAATGATAAGTCGGTTCTCAAATGGATTTTCCAACCACACTGCTTGGAAATTATAATGGTACATTGACTGCCAAATAAAATAGTTGTTGTATTGTTATCATCTTGTGAGCATGTTGCAGCTTCATATTTGGGCATACGATTCTAACTTTCAGGTTTTAAGCATGGATTTTGGAGTTTGATAATCACATAGGGAGATGGCAGTGGTTAATAAATATAATATTAGGCACAAATGTAATTATAAATCTAAGGAAATGACTCGTTAGCCTACAAAATTTAAAATTGTTGACTGTCTCGCTAATATTGCAAGCGTGACATTATATTTTCCTAAATTCAAAGTTCCTCTCATTTTTTTAGGGGGATGTGGTGTTCCTTTCACCACCTTGGGGAGGTCCATCATATAAAGCAAAAGAAAGTTTCACTCTTGACTTGCTGAAGCCGAAAGATGGGTATGTGATGCAGTTTTGTTTAAGGTTTCTTGCAATAAAAGAAATTGGGTTTAAAGGATCTTCCTTTATCTTTTGTGATCCAAGTTTATGCATATGCAATATGTGATGTAGCAGTAGATTAAGGTGCTGATTTTCATTTGTTTCTGTGGCAAATTGCCTCTGTACTTGGTTAGTTTTATGTATTCTGTTATTTTCAGAAATCAGACTATTCTAATTAAGCTGTAAGTCGAGGGACTTGATCAGGAACCGATTACAACTATACAACGATTTGGAATTATATCATCGGGATCTATATGAAACTAAAGATACTGGATTATTCTCCTCAAGTATTTGATGATATAGTCCATGTTACTTTTCCTAGCAATTTTTCAGTGTTGTGTGCTTATAAATTGGCAGTGAAAAGAAACCCGAGTTTACTATGTTTGCAGGCATTCCCTATTTCAAATTGCTCGAGCAATAACACCTAAAATTATTATGTACTTGCCCCGAAATGTGGATTTAGTCCAAGCAACTGGACTTTCATGTTTGTCGTCTCCACCTTTAGATGTTAAGGTATATCTTATTTCTATACGTATCCTGTTTTGATATCAAAAAATTTTTTTATGAATCTATATACAAATAAAACTGAGATTCTATTTGCAGATTGAAGAAAATTTTGTGAGGGGCAATTCAAAGGGCATAACCATCTATTTTGGCGACAATATATTCCCATAGCTCAGCAAATCTCATACTCTCAAAATGAAGCCTTTTTTTAATAATGTGCTGCCATTCTCGCTGCACCATGTAAACATCAGTTCGAATTATTTTGAAAATGTAATATAAATCAGCGGACTGACTATTTCTTTGTTATCAGTTTGCAATTCGGATCAGTGATAGTGAAACATTTGATTTTGTACATTAATTTCTCGTGGAATGGCAAAAATAATGCTTGTATACGTTACATCAAAATTATATTTTATACTCCTTTTGTTCCACAAAGATAGAAGGGTGATTATATTTACGCCACATTTTTATTACATTGAAGGTTATTAATCTTTATTCATTATCACGCCTATAGTCTTTAATCTTTTTCTTCATCACAATCTTATTTTTAACATTTTGATAAATTTTTGTTCTTATTATTAACGTGCATTAAAATGAGGAATAAAAATTAATCGCATTTTTGTATTATTTATTTTGCTTATTTAAAAATAAAATGGGCAAAGAAGTCTTTTTCTCTCTATATTAAAGAAAATTTTGGAGAGAAATCATAATTAGAATAATTTATGTTAATTTGAGAGTACGAATATGATGAAAAAAATTGAGACATATATGATAACGTATAAAACCTTGAATGTAATTAAAGTGTAATCTAGTTATTAAAAGGTGTGGTTTAAATATATTTAGTCAGGATAGAATTGCTTTCGTTTTCACACGGATATATATAATTGGAACAATATATTTTGTACATTTTTCTCATATATCCCTATATTGAATAATGATTTAAATAAAAGTAGTTTATCTTTGTTGATAACAAAGTACATTAAATATAAACATATTAAAAAAATTAAGAAATCAAATATACTCTCAACAAGAAAAGTGACTTATAATTTGAGAAAAAGAATGCAAGTCTATCTTTATGAGACGGAAGGACTAATATCAATTCCTTAACTCGGTTTTTAATCCACTCCCAACCTTGGCCGGATGAGGTTTAAGTGAAGTTACCAAAATGCCTATTATATTTGAACAATATTTTTTCTCTTATTTCCATCTCAATTAATGAAAACATTTAGCCCCTTCGTCGATGTTTATTACGACATCAAATTAAGGATTGGTTAAATAAATTTTGAACGTCTATATAATCTATGAGGGTCCTCTTTCCAAGAAACAAAATAAAACAATTGTCCACAATTATTAGATTTCTTTTTTTTCCCCCAAATAGCCTAACTATTTTTCTCTTGTTGTCGTTGCAAAACCGAAATTTCTTAAATGGCTAGGCCAATTAGAGTACAACAACTTTGGCAGTACAATTTGCAATTTGAATTCAGTTTGATTATGAGTTCTTCCTTACTCTCCATGCGCTTCTATCGACATCGATTTCCACGGAAGTAATTTAACGTCATTCCAAGTCCCATCATTCTTCCATTTCTCCTTCACAAAACTACTCAATCATGAAAAAGAACCTGCACGCTAATGCAGGGATTGGAGCTAAAATTTTGATTTAGAGGGGATATATTATGTATTTCTAAATCTAAATATAAAGTTTCAAAGTATTATAATTTACTTTTAAAGAATTTATTTTCACCATTTAACTCTTAATTTACCTCTAATCTGGATGGTTTGAGAAATTCATGAACCGGGATCTTGATGCATATAGATACAAATGGTCCAATGGGAGCAATATATTAGGTGGCTTTGACCTTTTATAGTTTCATATCTTTTAAGTAAGTGCTTATTGGCACAATAATCGTAGACCATTGTGCAATACCTCACCTTTTGAAATTGGTGGAAAACATCCCTATATGAAACTTGAGGTGCGGAAAATCCTCATGTATAAAAATTAAAAACAATAAAAATTGTCAAAATTAAAAATGAATAATTTCAAGTGCGATCCCCATCTTTATTTTTATTTTTTTTTTTCAAATTATACCAAAACTTTTATTTGTACTACCCCCAATCCCAAACCTTTAATAGGAGTCACTTCTTTGTTACTTTATGTCATGAGCATGGCAAAAAGACGGGAAATTGTTCTGAATTCCAGCAATTGCTCCATTGATTTCAGTCATCATTTCAACTTTCTTCGTCTATATCACTCATTCTGATATCCAGGTTGTGAGTAATCAGATCACGAAGAAAATGATAGTATAGTCGTTCATTAAGATGAAGTAATATAACTTTTGTTTGATAAACTTTTAATTCAATCTTTGTGAGCAATGTCCAACATCGTCATGTCTTGTGTTGTAATACTAACTCTAAAAGTGATCACCTCGTTGTTCAAATACGCCATGAATGCCATAGTGGCTTCTATCATTACATCAGCAATGGTATGTTTATTCAACATAGACACGATGATTCTTATATGGAAGATCGATAAATTTGATTTAGTTTTTTTTTGGATAAAGTAAGTGTATTATATCCAAAGTATAAAAATAAGTACAAATCACAGGGGCATACCCCAGAAAACAATGCTAGGAATTAATGTCTTCCTAGCAACAATAGCAAAATTCTAGAAAGTGCTCATATCCTAATCACGAGGACAAAAAAATCTGTAGAAAATCCTCAAGAGCGTTAGAGCCATCTATTTTCATTAGATGGAACCAAGCTACTGTACAAGTTCACTCGTGCACAAATAGTAAAAACAATATCTTGAATAATAATAGACTCATTTTTAGGAGCCTCCCCATGGGTCCTAGCATTACGTTCACGCCAAATAGCATAAATCGAAGCCGCAAACATTAACCGAATAACGATAGAGGACAATGACCTCCCACGAAATTGTTCCATCCAAGAGAGAGAATCAAGCCAACTCCGTTGAACCCATGGCAAGTTACATTTCACATGCAGAGCATTCCAAACATGCTCAGAAAATGGGCATGCAAAGAAAAGATGATCCAAATCCTCCACTGAACATCCACATAGCACACAACGCATAGATTGAATCAAACCAAAGCTAAGAAGATTTGTTTGTGTATAGATGCCACCTTGAATTGCTAACCAAAGGATAAATGCATGTCTTGGAATACATTTAGGGAACCATACAATGTGATACCAAGTCACCCTAGGGCAGCGCAGTCGAAGAGACTCCCAAGCACTCCGAACAGAGAAGACTCCATGTACATCATCCTCCCATTGCAATACATCCTCTCTATTTGGTCGAAAAGTATCAAGCGTAGCTCGCATCAAATCAGACAAAGCTAGGGAGCGAACTGATGACCATCTCCAAGTATCACCCTCAACAATATCAGCCACCTTAGCAAGTCTACTCAATCTGGATTCACGAATGAACCTCTCTCCAAGAATCTTTTCTAAAGGGCCAAGAGGATGCCAATTATCATACCAAAGTGAGGCACTTCTACCATTCCCAATTTTGAATTTCATTTTGTCCCTCCCTATATCCCGGAGTCCAAGAATTTTCCTCCAATTCCAAGAGCAATCCCCAGGACATTTCAATTCCAAAATGCTCCGTCCTCTAAGTAAATAACAACTTGTCCACGAAACCCAAAGATAGGAGGCAGAATCCGTACAAAAGGACCAAAGATGCTTTAACATGGCAGCCTTATTCCAAATCTCCAAGCCCCGCAGACCTAAACCACCCTCCTCCTTAGGCATACAGATTTTTGCCCAAGCCACTTTAGCCCCACCGGTACCAAGGTCACTACCCTTCCACAAGAAGGCCCGCAATGAATTTTCCACTTGCTTGATCACAGCCTTAGGTAAAAGAAATACAGAGGACCAGTAGACCTGAATAGAAAATAACACTGACTTAATAAGTTGTAACCTCCCTGCATAGGAGAGCGCTCGAAAGGTCCAACTCTTAGCCCTAGCTATAATACGATCCATCAGCATCTTAAAATCCAAAGACCTCAATTTGGTAGAGATAAGCGGAACACCAAGATAACGTACCAGTATCACACCCTCCTTATACCCCCCACACATCAAGCGCAACTGATCCTTAAGATATGTAGAAACACCACTGGCAAATAAATTGCTCTTGTCTAGATTAGGAATAAGTCTAGAAAGAGCTTTGAATCGATTAAGGCATTCCCCAATGAGCGAGAGAGAACCAACCTCAGCTCTACAAAAGACCATAAGATCATCAGCAAAACATAAGTGAGTGATCTTCTCCTTCTCACATCTCCAGTGGTATTTGAAGTCCTGTTCAGCAACCATCAACCCCATTAACCCTGAAAAGACCTCCATAGCCAAGAGAAACAAGTAAGGCAACAAAGGATCTCCTTGTCGCAGACCTCGCCCACCAGCAAAGAATCCATACAGCTCTTCATTAATGGAAATCGAAAATCGAGTGGTAGTGACACACTCAGAAATCCACCTAACAACTCTCTCGGGAAAATCAAGCACCATCAAAACTGCAAAGAGGAAATCCCAACGAACAGAATCATATGCTTTCATGAGATCAACTTTAAGAGCACACCTAGGTAATCCTTCCCTGCGGTGATAATTCCTCAACAACTCTTGGGAAAGAAGGATATTGTCACTAATATGCCTACCTTTAACAAAAGCAGTTTGTTGAGCTCCAACAATGTCTGGGAGCACCATTTTAACTCTATTGGCAATCAGCTTAGCAATACATTTATAAATAGTATTACAACAAGAGATAGGCCTAAAATCCTTTACCTGAGAAGGATTTGGAACCTTAGGAACCAATGCGATGGTTGTAGCATTAACCTGCTTCAATAGTTGCCCCGAGTCAAAGAAGGACTTGATGGCACATAGAACATCATTTCCCACAATACTCCAAGTCCTCTTGAAGAAACCTGCATTTAAACCATCTGGTCCTGGAGCTTTGTTGTCTTTCAACGAGAACAAGACCTCTTTAATTTCCTCAAATGACACATCTCTATCAAGATTTTCATTGTGCTCTGCTGAGATGCTCTTTGGAAGAGCTTTTCGAAGCAAGTCCATATCTAGACTCTCACCACTACGCTACTGACCAAGGAGGTTTTGATAAAACGCAACAATGACTTCACTGACCGCATGCAGCTCCTCCACTCTAGTACCATCGTCTTTACAAATAGAAACCACCTTACTCTTGCCATAATGACTTTTCATAGCCTTGAAGAAGAACGCAGTGTTCTGGTCGCCTAAATTCAGCCACTTAACACGAGCTTTTTGTCTCAAAAAACCTTCTTCGGCCCTGCTCAACTCATAAAGTTTCTTTTGTAATCGAGCCTCCTCCCTATGTAGAGACGAATCCAAAGGAGATTGCTGAATCAAACACTGAACATGCTCTATATCAATTCGAGCTTGAGTAACTCTCGTAGGAAGTTCTGAAAAATGCTCCTTATTAAAGTCTTTCAAGGCAAGCTTTAGCTTCTTCAACTTCGAACACAGACAAAACATAGGGGTACCCACTACTGATTCACCCCAAACCTGAGCCACCAAAGGAAAGAAATCCGAATGATCCATCCAATAATCAAAGAAGCGGAATGGAATCTTCCTACGTGGTAACTCTGCAACCTTCACAACCATAGGCAAATGATCCGACACACCAGCAGTTAGAAATGTAGCTGACGATCCCGAAAATTCCTCCTCCCACTTCGAATTCACCAATACACGATCTAGTTTCTTGAGAGTAGGATCAGATACCTGCTTATTAGACCATGTATATAAACAACCATCAAACTTTAAATCGGCCAACCCCACTGTTGTCATGCAATTCCCAAGATCATCTTGCCATGCAGGCCAAGAAGAAGAACCACCTGCCACTTCTGAAGGGGAGACAACAGAATTGAAGTCCCCCATGACCACCCATGGCAAGTGTGCAAAACCTCCATACCTAGCTATGAAATCATCCCATAGATCAACACGCTTAACTGGGATATTATCCCCATATACCACTGACACCACACAACTCCATTTACCATTACATGCATTTACACGAACATGGATAGCTTGAGCAGAGCAACCTACCAACAAGACATCTACATCAATTGGATTCCAACAAACCCAAATTCTACCAATCGGAGAACAATTATAATTCGAAAGGACACTCCAAGAGTTGAAGATGGCATTCCCCACCTTATTTTGATTCTTCTCCTTAACTTTAGTTTCCACTAAACCACATAAAGAAAGTCTATTGGAAGCAATAAAGTTCTTTACTTCAGATTGTTTGACGGGGTCGTTTAACCCTCTGACATTCCAACATCCAAATAACATAATTAAAGTCAAGGAAAGAATCACAACCTCAAAATGACTAGCGCCATCTACCTCCCCTAGGGGAGTGATGCTTTTTGCCTTTCTTATGTTTGCCTCTTGACCCATTCTTCTTTTTCTGAAGTGAATCTCTAGCTTTCATAGCTAACGTGTTAGACTGAGGAACGGAAGTATCACTATCATCTTCATCTAGAGTGGCAAGAGGATCTGGAGAAACTTCACCTTCTTCCCCAATTTGAGAAGTCTCAATAGGCACAAATGACACCTCCTAATGCAAATTAGGAGCACTAGGTGAAGATGATTTATCAACATCTACATGAGCCACATTGGCAACCACCAGATCAACCTCTCCCTGGACCTCCTTAGAAATAGGTACAGCAACCCCATTATCAACACTAGCTATCGACTTTCTCTTATGTGAGACATGGGTCCATTCATCCTCAATAGGTGGTTTCTCATTAGCTACACCACTTTTATGTGAGACATGGGTCCATTCATCCTCAATAGGTGGTTTCTCATTAGCTACACCACTTTGTCCAGCCTTATCTTTAGCAACCCAAATCTTGGCAAGCTTACCCTTACTCTCACTAGGCATGGTTTGAGAAGAGCAATTGTGGCCAAATACCCCACACTTCGAACATTTAATTGGAACCCATTCAAACTCAGCACGAATAGTTATCCAATCCCCATTCGCACAACGGAAATCGAATTCCTCCACTAACTCATCCAATGCATTAATCTCAACACAAACACGTGCATAGCTGAGACGTTTACATGTAAGAGTGATCACATCTGCCCGTAAAGGACGCCCCACAGCACTAGCTACATGACTCAATCCCTTCGTTGTCCAGTACTCAAAGGGAATATTATAAAGCTTCACCCAAACAGGAATGCAACGTAGATTCTCCTTAGCCAGAGTCATATTAGGTTCCCAACGCTTCAGAATAAGTGGCCTGTTAGCCATATGCCAAGGCGCTCCTTCAAGAACTAAAAGAGCTTGACGGAGTGAATCAAACTTGAAAAAATAGAACCCAGCATCTGAGGATAAAACCTCCTGAAGACCAAATTTGCCCCACAATTTATGCGCAATAGAATTCACAACGGGAAAAGCTAATTTCTTGCCCACAAAGGAGCCAACCAAAGTCGTCCTCCACATT